AGAAAAGGACATTACAAGAAAAGAAAACTACAGGCCAATATCCCTGATGAATACAGTTGCAAAAATTCTCAACAAAATACTAGCAAACTGAATTCAACAGCACATTGAAAGGATCATACAAAATGATCAAGTAGACTGTATATTTGGGATATAAAGATGATTCAACATATGCAAATCAACAAATGTGATACACCACATTGATAGAATGAAAGATAAAAATCACAATCATCTTGGGGCGCCTGGGTGGCTCAGTCGTTAAGCGTCTGCCTTCAGCTCAGGTCATGATCCCAGGGTCCTGGGATCGAGCCCCGCATCGGGTTGTCTGCTCAGCAGCGAGTCCACTTCTCCCTCTCCCACTCCCCCCGCTTGTGTTTCCTCTCTCGCTGTGTTTCTCTGTCAAATAAATAAATAAAATCTTTAAAAAAAAAAAATCACAATCATCTCAAAATTGCATAAAAAGATTTTGACAAAATTCAACATCTTTTCACGATAAAAACTCAACAAATTGGATGTAAAAGGAATGTACCACAACGTAATAAATGCTATATATGGCAAGCCCACAGCTAACATCATTAATGGTGAAAGGCTGAAAGCTTTTTCTCTAAGATCAGGAACAAGAAAAGGGTGCCCACTCTCACGACTCCTATTCAACATAGTATTAGAACTCCTAGTCAAAACAACCAGGCAAGAAAAAGAAATAAGACATCCAAATTGGAGAAAATGAAGTAAAACTGTCTTTGTTTGCAGATGATAAGATCTTATACATAGGAAGTCCTAAAGATTGCACCGAAAAACTCTTGGAACCAATAAATAAATTCATTAAAGTTGCAGGCTGCAAAACAACATACAAAAATCAGTTGCATTTCTATAACTAACAATGAGCTATCCAAAAAACAAAGAAAACAATCCCATTTACAACAGTATCAAAAGTAATAAAATACTCAGGAATAAATTTAACCAAGGAGGTGAAAGATCTATAAACTGAACACCATAAGACATTGATGAAAGAAACTGAAGAAGACACAAATGGAAAGATATCCTGTGTTCATAGATCAGAATTAATATTATTAAAATGTCCATACTACTCAAAATGATCTACAGATTCAATGCAATCCCTATCAAAATTCCAATGGCATTCTTTAAAGACAGAAAAAAATTCTAAAATTAAATGGAACCAAAAAAGACACCAAACAGCCAAAGCAATCGAGAAATAAGAATAAAGCTGGAGATATTACACTTTCTGACTTCAGTCTATACTATAAAGCTATAGTAATCAAAATGGTATGATACTGGCATAAAAACAGACACACAGATCAAAAGTCCAGAATTAAGAGCCCAGATATAAATCCTGGCACATACAGTTAACTAATATTTGACAAGGGAACTGAGAATATTCAATGGGAAAAGGCTAATCTCTTTAGTGAAAGGTATTGGAAAACTGGATATCCACACACAAATGAAAGACACTGGAATGTTATTTTACACCATACACAAAAATTAACTCAAAATGGATTGAAAAAGTAAATGTAAGACCTGAAATCATAAAGCCCCTAGAAGAAAACATAGGGCAGGGACGCCTGGGTGGCTCAGTCATTAAGCGTCTGCCTTCGGCTCAGGTCATGATCCCACGGTCCTGGGATCGAGCCCCGCACTGGGCTCCCTGCTCAGTGGGAAGTCTGCTTCTCCCTCTCCCACTCCCCCTGCTTGTGTTCCCTTCTCACTGTGCCTCTCTCTGTCAAATAAATAAAATCTTTAAAAAAAAAAAAGAAAGAAAGAAAACATAGGGGAAAAACCTCCCTGGCATTGGTCTTGGCAACAGCTTTTGGACATGGCAACAAAACACAAGTAAAAAAAGCAAAAATAAACAAGCAGGACTACATCAAACTAAAAACTTCAGTACAGAAAAAGAAACAGTCAAAAAAAAAAAAAAAAGAAAAAACAATCAATCTATAGAATGGGAGAAAATATTTGCAAACTATCCGATGAGGGGTTAATATAAAAAATATACAAGGAACTCATACAACTCAATAGCAAAGAAACAAATAATCCAATTAAAAATGGACAAAGAACCTGACTACACATTTTTCCAAAGAAGACATAGAGATGACCAACTGACATATAAGAAGATGCTCAACATCACTAATCATCCGGGAAATGCAAATCAAAGCCACAATGAGACATCTCACCTCATACCTGTTAGAATGGCTATTATCAAAAAGATAAGAGACAATAAGTGCTGGCAAAAATGCAAAGAGAACTTTTGTGCACTGTTGGTGAGAATGTAAATTGGTATATTCACTATTGGAAAAGGTAGGTTCAGAGGTTCCCAAAAGAATTAAAAATAGAACTACCATATGATCTAGCAATCCTAATTCTGGGTATATATCCAAAGAAAATGAAATCATTATCTAGAAGAGATAGATATCTGCACTCCCATGTTCACTGCAGCATTATTCACAGTAGCCAAGACATGGAAACAACCTAAGTGTCCATGGACAGATGAATGGATAAAGAAAATGTGGTATATATAAACAATGGAATATCATTCAGCCATAAAAATTAAGGAAATCCTGCCATTTGCAATAACATGGATGGACCCTGAAGGCATTATGCTAAGTGAAATAATTCAGATAGAGAAAGACAAATACTGAATGATCTCACTCATATATGAAATTTTAAAAAGCCAGCTTATAACTGCTTGTTATAAGATGAGTAAGTTCTGGGGAGCTAATATACAGCATGGTGACTATAGTTAACAATACTGTATAATATATTTGAAAGCTGCTGAGAGAGTAAATATTAAATGTCCTCACCACAAAAAAAAAAAAAAAAAAGAAAAATGGTAATTATGTCAAGTGATGGATGTCTTAGCTAACCTTATTAGGTAATCATTTATGCAATACATAAATAAATAAATCACATCATACACCTTAGACTTACATGATGTTATATGCAATTATATGTCCATTAATCTGGGGAAAATAAAATTTTTAAATAATTTTTTTAAAAAAGACAATAGGGTCAAACCCTCAACCCTCACTGGGCTACTAAAGAAATGTGCATCCCTCTGAACCTACCTCTCTATCAGGGAAGAGCTTGGACAGTCATATAAGATGGTCTGACATACTATTTTGTTCTTTAAGTTGAACCAATAGCACAGTAGATTCCTAAGGGCTTGGGAGTCTTAATAATATACTACATACTAATTTAACATTCAGAGTATCTACTACATACGAGGCATAATAAGAACACTGCAAACTGTACCAAGAGAGAAGATTCTGCATCCAGAACAATTTTACTTTGAACCTGATTCAAGCTAGTAGTGAATGCTATTGGTATCCACAGGATTGCTTCACCGAGCCAGGGGGTCCATCCCCAAATTGCTGTTTGAGTGTTGGCTGTTAAGAGTTCAGAGCTGACTGCTGTTTTCTAGGAGAGCGGCTGATAGAAACCACCTAGCTTGGGAGGTTACTCCCTCCTATCTCTCATTCCAAAACCCTCTTGGCAATCCCCAACCAAAGACTGACTTATATGAAGCCACCAAAGGTTGGTCCCCTTCCCCTAGCCTCAGGGCAGGATAATCCTGCCTGTGATTTAGACTTGAGGCCTTCCTCCCAATGGCTCAGGCTGAGGTTATGGCTGTCCCTGTGACCACATCCTTGTTCACCTCGATCCCCCTCCCTACCCTGCTTCCCTCACTTCCATACAGGGTTTTTCCTAAAGGGCACTTCCTCAATAAATTACAAGCAACCAAATCCCTATCTCAGGCTCTGCTTCTAGAAAACATGGACCTAGGACACTGATTTCATTCACTATCTAGAGAGCTAAAGAAAGTCAAAGCTTTCTTAGATTATTGTGGTTCATAATCACTAAGATTAATATTATTATTATTATTATTGTCATTATTTTACAGATACACATCTCTTGGTATTCTGTAGACAATACACTGTCTATAAACGTAATTCCAAAGGAATCATTAAAGTTTTTATAAATTGAATTATGAAATTACTTCCCATCTGACATATTCGACATAGTCTAAATCCTAAATCTGACTTTATTTCTCAGGCTATAGGGGGACAAAAGTGCTAAATCTGATCTGGCCTGATGCAAAATATAAGTTAAAACAAAACAAACATATATCAGAAAGAAAAATATCAGGAAGGATATTTTTCTCAGGGCATAATTCAATAAAAGGAGCATATTAAACAAACCCAAACCCCATAATTCACTAGTGCTGCTACTGCCCTAATTCTCTTGCATTTCCAGGTGGGTCATAGAAAATCGTTCTTGGGCAAAGAGGGTGGAAAAAAAAAAACAAAACATATCAGTATCTTTACATCTCATTCTTCATCCTGGATAGAGCGAGTGTTACACAACTGTCGATGGTCCGACTAACCTTGAAAATAAGAGTTCTATAAAGTCTACGTGCGGCAAAGGGAGTCAGGATTGCTGCCTGGTCACCTAGAAGATGCCTCCTCCAGCCAACGTGCTGCCTGTGAGCTTTTCCCTTTTCCAACCCCATAAAAGGTGAAGAGCTTCATGATCTAATAGTGCTTATTACAGTAGTGAATATAAACTAATATTCCACATCAAATAGTCCCCATTATCCCACCATTTAAAAGAAAAATAAAAGGTATATGGACCAAGATACACTGCCCTCTAGTATATACATTTGACTATAGTAAAAGCTTAACTAACATAATATATATAATAAGGAAGCTATCTTAAGTAGGGTATTTCACAATATTCGATTTATGTCTTTCCCATGGACGTCGTTCGTTCATTTCTCATATGTCTTCAATTAGCATCTTGATTTTTTAAGAGTCAAAAAAACAAAACTATACATAGCAACCATTCATGCAGAAAACTGATTTTAATGGATGAACCATCGATTCCGTCTATTTCTTAATGTTTGAGGAGGACTGAAAGCTCTCCACATCTAAACGGCACTGTAAGTAAGTCACCGAAGCACCGAAGCACAAAGCGAAACGGAAACTCACCGCCAGGTACACTGTACCAAGCAGCACCATTGGTTGTTCCAGCTACAAAGCTGCTGTCGTCATCATTCTTGCGACACGGTGGCCGATTGGGGTCAGACATGGGTGGGTTAAAAGAGGAGTACGCGCGAGCCAAGCTTTGGAAAATGGCATCATCTGGGCAGGAGCTGTATTCATGAGCACTACCTAGAAAATAAACCCACAAGGTTAAAGAAATTAATATAGACCAAAGAGCATTGCGTGTTTTTGAAAGAGTGGTTCAGTGTGGTCTCTTGCTGACCTCTTTTTTTTAAGATTTTATTTATTTGACAGCGAGAGAGAGCAGCCGAGGGAGAGGGAGAAGCAGGCTCCCCGCTGAGCAGGGAGCCCCCTGCGGGACTCCATCCCAGGACTCCGGGATCATGACCTCAGCCGAAAGCCACGCTTAACCGACTGAGCTACCCAGGTGCCCTCTTGCTGATTTCTTTTTTTTTTTTAAGATTTTATTTATTTATTTGACAGAGAGATAGAGAGCGCGCACAAGCAGGGCGAGTGGCAGGCAGAGGCAGAGGGAGAAGCAGGCTCCCCGCAGAGCCGGGGGAGCTTGATATGGGGCTCGATCCCAGGACTCAGGGATCATGACCTGAGCAGAAGGCAGTCGCTTAACCAACTGAGCCACCCAGGCGCCCTGATTTTTTTTTTTTTTTAGCAACATCACAATGGGAAAGGAGTGATGGTCTGAGTGCTCAACAATTACACTTAGTGTTTAAGTTATATACCATTCTGTTCCACACCACAATGTAGAAATTGGGTAGAAAGGACATTCTACTTATGCACTGAAAGCTTCATGAGAAAAGGTGATAAACTCGTGGTAAACTTGATCTGAGAAAACAGAAAGGAGATTTCCATTGTTAAAATTTTTAATTTAAAAAATGTGACCTCTGGGTGCCTGGGTGGCTCAGTCGGTTAAGTGGCTGCGTTCCGCTCAGGTCATGATCCCGGGGTCCCGGAATGGAGCCCAGTGTGGGGCTTCCCTGCTCAGCTGGGAGTCTGCTGTTCCCTCTGCCCCTCCCCCCCCCCCCCCCCCCCCCGCTCATGTGCACACTCTATCTCTATCTCTCACTCTCTCTCTCAAGTAAATAAATAAAATCTTTAAAATAATAATAATAAAATAAAAAATGTAACCTCATAGCCACCATGAGTCATTCTCACACATACTTTTCAGTATTTGAGTTTTAAAGTTTAAAAAAATCTCCCATGTGTAATATAAAAAGAAATAATATATATTTTGATACACTGTGTCTTCATATATGATAAAATATGCCAGGCTTTTAAATTGCCCAGCTATTGACAAACTACAAAATCTATAAATTTTAATGTTTCACCAAAGACTCTCTCCAAGGCTCAAAGTTTCCCATATCTAAAATTATCATCGTGTTCTTGCAAAGAATGAATTCTTCAAAGACCCTTGAGAGCCCATCCATAGCAGGAAATTTCTTGGAGCGACAAAAAGTTAAGTTGAAAATAACTATCTGACTAAAGCTTGCTGTGCCTGAAATTTAACTAAAACTAATTTGAGAAAGTCAAAGCACCACTTTCCCCTCCCTGACACCACTAGAAACAGTTCCAAATGCAAAAGCGTTGAGCGTATGGTAAGACACGGAGAGATCCACATGGGCCCTGATCAAGCTGCAAAAAGACTGCTTTCATTTTTAAGCCATCTTGTACACAAACCTGTATCATTTCCATTATCTCTCGATTCTATCAGGGTTCAAGAGTGACCCAAGTTCATGACCTCTGTTTTCTCCCTTTCTCTTGCATTCTGTCAAGATCACGGTCCTCTTCAACTAAACTTATTAAAAAGTTACAGTCCTTTTCTGCCAAATATTTATACGAATGCCACATGAAATAAACATACGTCCTTCTACAGGCAAAATCACTTAATGGCCAGTTCCTTAAAAGAATGGTCCATATAGAAATCATCCTATAAACCCTCATAAAACGATTGTAAACTTTGAACCATTAGAGAAGCAGGAGGAACACCTACCACTCCGCGTCTCGTCATAGGGGTAATTGGCCACAAGGTCTCCTCCATGGAGATTGGCAGAGAGCACGAAAGGAATATCCATAATCCAATGAATGACTGCCTTAGTCTCAGGAGCAAGCTGTATTAAAGATTAGAGGGTAGAAGGATTATACATTTGGTTAACATTGGTGGGATCTCTCAATAGGAAAGACATAAAAAAGGAAAAACAACAACAGTAATCGAAAGCTGGTCATAGGTCATCTTTCAAGTGCTTTGTGGTGGTTGTCATAAAAATAAAAAAGCTTCCAGTAAGAGCAGCATTTCCATCTCTACCTTTCCCACTTATAATAAAACATATTTCAGTAGTGTTAGAATTTCCTTAAAAGTTTTACTTTTGTTAGCTGCCAGCTTTTTTCTCTTTTTTGTTTTTGTTTTTAGCTTTTTTCTCTTTGAAACTTGAAAACCATCATGCAAATCACTGACAAATTCTAGGACACTTCCATCTGATCTTTGTTAATAATAGCTAAGAGTAAGACAAAGAGAAAAGAAAATAGTTGGACTGAAGAACAAGATTCTTTCTCTATGGTGGTTAAACTCTAGAAATGTATGATAGATTTTATTTCTTTTATTACTAATTATTATTGTTTATTATTTTCTTTTATTGCTTACTATTTTTCCAATTCCCTCCAACTACCTCTGACACTGTTCCTATAAAAAAAATATTAAATTGGGTCTCTTTCAAAACTCACTGTAAAATATCAGCTTACTTTGGGAAAAGCATCTTAAACAAAAGCAGAAGTTTCAGAAATTCATGTTGCCTTAATTTAATGACTCACAGCCCCTCTTATCCTGGTAGCAAAACAAAAGAGGAAAGAAATTTATACAAAAGAATTAACCTGGAGCCAGACACGTATTTCATATGATGAGTTTTTAGTAGTAACTAGGAAGACTCTCAAACTCCCAAGTACCTCCTTGATTAAAAAAAAAAAAAAAAATTCCTGGAGATGTGATCCATACTTTCTTTGGGACAGAAAATCTAACAGCATCAGTAGGGTTTGATGGCTGCAAGACCTTGTATTTCTGTATCTCTGTTCAGTTCATGAATGAGCTTCACAACATCCCCATCGGATAGGCAAAGATATTCAACCCCTTTCACTGGGAAGAATCTAGGGGTTAGGTGTGTTAATAACATGTCCAAGTTCACACAGCTAAGAATTCAAATCCAGTCTATAAAACTATAAAGCCCACGTTTTTGTCAGTATTGATATATAGTTTGATACTTTAACGTATCAAAATTACCCTATTTTTCATGTAGGCAACTTATAATCGTGAAAAAGTGTGATTTAGAATAAGGTGCTGTTTTTATTATTTATTTGATTGGTTTATCTCATTCTCCCTATAAAAATGTTTATTGTAGAAAATGTAAAGGAGACAAACAAAAAGAAAGAAGATTAAAATGACCCATAATTTTACCATCTAAAGATACAAACCGCTAACATTTACATGTATCTTTCTCAGTCTTTACCAATGCACTTATGTAATTTTTTAAATGTGATAATTTATGTATAATTTTGTATATGACCTGTTTTGTTTGACAATGGGTAACAAACACTTTTGCTTGTCATTGAATAACCTTCTAAGTTACTATGTTAATGGATGAATAGTATCCAATATATGGATATATCATTCTTAAACATGAACAAAATAATAGCTAATATTTATTAAACACTTTCTGTGTGACACATTGAAGTCTCACATCCACCCTATGAGATAGGGACTACACGTACTCCCCGTTTTACAGATGAGTAAACTGAGACACAGAGGAGTTAGGCAATAGCATGAGTCCAATCAGTTGTGAGTGGCAGAGCCTGGACTCAAGCTCCAGAGCATGAACACCAGCACTAACAATCTCCAATTTGTGGGAGGGGTTGGGGAGAAGGGGGACATATTGGTCTGACGGTACAAACTTTCAGTTATAAGATGAATAAGCTCTGGGGATCTAATGCACAGCATGGTGACTTAATAATACTGTACTGTCTACTTGAAATTTGTTAAGATAGCTCATAAGCATTCTCATCACGAAAGAAAACTAAGGTAACTATGTGAGGTGATGGATATGTTAATTTGCTTGATTGTGATAATCATTTCATAATGTATACGTATATCAAATCATCATATCGTATACCCAATTTTTATTTGTCAATTATACTTCAGTAGAGCTGGGGGATAGGATCTCCAATTGTTGGGTGTTGAGTTGTTCACTATAGAAAAAAATTGTATAAACACCCTTGTAACTACTCTTCTTTCAGATCTATACTTTCCTTAGGGAAATTTTCCTAGAAATGGAATGACTTAACCAAAAGCTAAGCACAGTTTTTAATTTTATAAAATGTATTACAAATTGCCTCTCTATAAAATACAGCAATAGTATATTAAGCCTGCCATTTCTCATCATTCTTACCAACATGGGATATGTGGTGTTTTTTAAATCTTTCACTTTGATACATGACAAATTAGATTTTTTGTAAATGTGCATTCTTTGATACACAAATAAAACTGGAACCATTTCTATATGTTTAGTAACCATTTATGTTTATTCTTTGGTGACATATTTATACATGGTTTAGCTGATTTTTCTATTGAAATGTTGATCTCTTACTAATTTGCAAGAGTTGTTTATTCAGTAAAAACACTAACCCTCTATATTATAGATATTTTCTGAGTTTGTCATTTGTCTCTCAAATTCAGTTTTTTTCAAATTTAATAATAATACTTAAAATACAAAATATTTATGTTTTCAAATTTACTGATCTGATCTTTTTTTAATTGTCTCTTCCTTTGCTTTTGCATTTTATTCGTTCATTCAATAACTAGCAAGTGGCCACCATGTGCCAATTTTTCTATATGAGGGATTTAGAAAGTTCTATCCCTTTCCGAAAATTATATATTTACTGAAGTTTTCTTTTTGAAGGCTCATACTTTTTATAGATTTTATGTTGATCTATGCTGATATTTGTGAGATGGATTAATCTCAATTTCATTTATTGAATTACCCTGTCTTTCCACGATGATCTGAAAAACTCCCTTACTATACACTAAATTCTTATATGTACTTAAATTTGTTTCTAGAATTCAAATTAATTTAAATTAAATCCAGTTTAAGTTTTGATTTAAATCAACCATAAAATAACTAATACAGAACATCTAATCAAAAACAATCTTTAGGGGCTCCTGGGTGGCTCAGTAGTTAAGCATCTGCCTTCGGCTCAGGTCATGATCCCAGGGTCTTGGGATTGAGCCCCACATTGGGCTACCTGCTCAGCAGGAAGCCTGCTTCTCCCTCTCCCACTCCCCCTGCTTGTGTTCCTGCTCTCGCTATGTCTCTCTGTGAAATAAATAAATAAAATCTTCAAAAAAAAAAATCTTTAATCCAAAAAATGCATATGCTCGTTTGCAATGAATTTATGGTTTATTAGGCTCAACTGCTCAAAAAATGGCAATAATATTATGTGATATGAGTTTAACACATTCTTTTATATTCTGTTCCAAGTTTTCTTCGTAGTACTGAATTTCTTTCCAATCCTCTTCCTTGTACATCCCCTTCATTTCTCCTATTTGCTCAAACCCAGTGATTGGTACTGACAAATACTTCAAGGAGTTCAAAAAAGACAGAAATCCCGGTGGTTTGGAGAATCATGGGAGACTTTAGGAAGGAGGTGGAACTCCACTATGCCTTGGGGGGAGAAAGGCAGGTAGGCTTTGGATAGGAGGAAAAGAGAGTAGTAAAAAAAAAAAGAAAAGAGGAGAGTACGTAAGGGGTAAAAGCAAGCAAGGACTGCCTGGGGTAAAGGATTGGTTTGAGTGGGAGCTCAGGAGGCAAAGCCCTACAGTGGCAGACTGTACTTTTGGATTTCTTATTCACCTGAAAGGGTTCAAAACAGTGTGCATGGTATGCTTCCATATATTTATAGATTGATACGTGCATAAAAAATAATTCTAAAGAATACATACCAAGATGTGAATGGTGATCATTTAAGACTATAGGGTAATGGGTTCTTTTTCTCTTCATTTATATTTACTTTATCTTTTTGTTCATAATAACATACTAATTTTAACATTTTTTAAAGAAACTTTTTTGGAACAAATATAACATACAGTCCTGAATACACAAAGTCATATTTGGCTATTAGGTTTAGCCTATTGCTAATTCTGATACATACACTATTGCTAATGTTACCAATATGTTCAAAAGCAAACGAGTAAATTCCACAATTTGACAAATTAAACTCAGTTTGTCTCCATCTACTAATAGAATTTTTTAGGCTGACTAAATGCTGAGATCCCCTGGGTACTGTAATTATATATTTAAGTAATCCATAGAGAAGCCTCTGGAACATCTCTAAGATTGAGCCCCAAGAGAATCTAGAACCAATTATGACTATCTTTAAAATTTCCATTTAAAGACTAAGTATAGCTTAAATGTTATGCTCTATAATTAGATGGCTTTGACTCTTAAAATACACTAAAGCTATATTTATTTCCCTTTCTTCATGACTCTGGCCATTAGAGATAAGTATACAATTATTAAAATTGTTTGATTTATTTTAATTCACTCCGTTTTCAAGCAATCCAGGTCCAGGCTCATGTACTGAGCCCAGATAACAGTGGAGGTGACCAGGCCAAATTGCTCAAGAACAGATGAGAAAAGACAGCAGGAAGAACTCCACAGCAACAGAGAGCTTTTGTTCAGAGGTTCAGAAGAACAAGGAAAGCATCTGGAACACGTGGTAAAAATGCAGATGCCTTTTCATCACCCATTCCCACGGCATACACACCCCAGACTTCCTGAATCAGCATTCATAAAAGTGTGCCTTTTTAACCCCAATTCCTACAAAACTTGAAATTTAAAAACCACTATAAGGACAGATTGGAGGTGGCCAGAGGCAGTGTTGGGGGACGGGGAGATGGGGAGGGAAATGGGTAAAGGTGGTCAAAAGGTATACACTTCATTATAAAAGAAGTCCTAGGGATGTGATGTACCAATGGTAACTATAGTTAATAATACTGTATTCTATATTTGAAGTTACGAAGAAAGTAGGCCTTAAATGTTCTATTACAAGAAAAATATTACAACTATGTATGGTGACGGATGGTAACTAGACTTATGGTGGTGATCATTTCACAATATATACAAATACCAAATCATTATGCTGTACACCTGAAACTAATAGTATGTTATATGTCAATTATGTCTCAATAAAAATAAAACAAACATAGAAGCTACAATAAGGGATACAGACACTGAGAAGGGGGAGTAAGAAAAGGCGAGATGTGTGATAACATTCACAAAATGCCTACTACGTGTCTCCTACCGGGCAACGTCTAAATACGGTCTCAGTCTTAATGACAAAGATGGAAAAAAAGAGAAGATGAACCAGTTATGAATAATAGCATCCCCGAATTATTAGGCAGGTTTACTAAAGATTTAGTCTAATGTAAACAAACCTTGCTTCTGTTCCAGAAAAGAGACTAAATTTTCATTTTTATGTATTTCTCTTTAACTTACCTTTACCCAGAAAAAGTATTGGCATTGAGATACTTTTAATAAAAGCTCTAATTTTGAGGGGCACCTGGGTGGCTCAGTTGGTTAAGCAGCGGAATCTTGATTTTGTCTCAGGTCATGATCTCAGGGTCCTGGGATCAAGCCCCGCCTCAGGCTCCCTGCTCAGTTGGGAGCCTGCTTGAGATTCTCTTCCTCCCTCTCCCTCTGCCCCTCCCCGCACTTGCTCACTCACACGCTCTCTCTCTCTCTAAAATATATAAATAAATACTAAAAAAAGTTCTATTTTTTTAAGTACCATGAGCATATATCTTTTAAATAAGTATTGCTTACACTAGAAATAAGAAAACACCTAACACCACGTTTCTGCAAATATCACACAGGTTCTGTTGGGGAAGAGGAAGGTCTTGCCGATGGAAAGTGTATTGCACTGCACAAAGGTTGCCCATCATATATCCTATGGACATGAGTTTATTTCACAGATTCTTCTACACAAGGTGGCAGGCATTACTTGTCCCATTTCTCGGATTTAATGAAGACAGCGCAGGCAGCTTAATGTAAGCAATGGGGAGAGTCTGCCGGCTGATAGCAGCACTAGGCTTCCACGGTGGTTTTCCATTTCTGCCTTACCGTTCACAACTTATCACACAGGACTGCCTTCTTTTTACCTCTGGTAAAAAAAAAAAAAAAAAGACAGTCCTCTGTTTTCCAACTCTCATCCAAGAAAGATGGACCAGGGGCTGAGAAACTGCAAATGTATCTGTGACTCAGAAGCAGGAATGTTTAAGTGACTCACTTATCAGGTTCTACTAGAATCCTCAGCCCCTAGCAGCCCTTTTCTGAGACCAGTTTCCACTTGCAGGCTTAGCTTAAGTTTCTGAAATGAATCCTAAATATAGGCAGGAAAGTTATAGGAACTTTACAGCAATAATCCAGGACCCTCCCTATCTCCTGGATCTTCTATCTAGCGCCCAACCGCATGATGAATGCTTGTCTGGAACTCCAGCTGTGGATTTTCAGGTACTGTGATTTGCTTGTCAGGCTGGATCGCATTCATTCCTAACAGGTTTTCAGCCTACTATGTGTCAGACTCAAATATAAGCCATAATTCTTGCAACCAAAAGACTGAAATCTAGAATTAAAAAGGAAAATAGCTATATAAATAATTATAACAAATACAATGCTCTCTATAGCTATAAGCACCATACTGGAAGTATTTCTAAAGAATGTAAGGGAAGCTTAACTGGACCCATCTGGAAGAGCAGAAGGCTTCACAGAGGAGGTGACATGGAAGGAAAGGAAAGAGCATTCTAGAAGGTTGGACCAATGCATACAAAGATATAAAATTATTAGAAAATACTTTGCTTAGGGAGCAAAAAGGAATTGGTGGACCACAGTCCATGGAATATCAGAGCCAGATCAAGGAGTGGGTCAGCCAGCAGCTGCCAGGGGCCAAGGGAAACTTGAAAGGCCATGGCACTATAATAAAATGGAGAAATTGTACTTTCCACGTTCTCACTTAGGAAAGGTACGAAAAGGAGTTGATGAACCAGAGCAGAATTGCCTGGAAAAACACAAGAGGAATGGAGAGCTGCCAACCCCAGTTCTTCTCCACCTTCCCTCCACAATGGGCTCTACCTCCCTCCAAGTAATTGAAAACAATGTTCAAACAGTATTGGTTTGAAGGAGCATCAAACGTTTAGTGGATATGTCAATGCACCCATCTAACTCTGAGGTACATAACACAGAGTCCTGAGAAATTTTGCTGAAACGGTAATAATAGTTACAGGTCCTGACTTCAAGCACTTTATAGATCCTAACTCACTCAGTCCTTATAACCACCTAAGGGGGTAGCTACTATTATCATCTCCATATTTCAGCGGAAGAAGCAAAAGCACAAAGTGGTTAGATAACTTTCCAAAACTCATGCATCAAATATGGAGCCAGGCTATGAAGAGGTGGCTGCCCCAGAGTCCCCAGACTAAGACTAAACCATCACACAATTCTGACATACTGAGTTTTTACTTTATCCTCTGGACGGTGGGGAGCTGGCAATGAAGCAATAATTTGTGCATGAAGATCACTCTGGAGGAATTCGAGAAGATTGAACAGGGTTGGGAGTGGCTGAACCCAAAACAAGAAGAGGGGACGGCTGTACTCATCAGAGCAAGAGACAATGGGGGCCTCAACCAAGCAGTGGAATGAGTTTGCAGTTGAGAGACTGAAGAAGTGTTAGGGCCCTCAGGTCACTGAGATCCGCCAACTGATTGCTGGTGGCGGGGACAGTAATGGAACAGTCAAGGCTTTGATGATAGGGTAAATGAGAAAACACTGTTTTCTTACAGAAAATGTTTGGCTTCGAGGCCCTGCGTGTCGCCAGATGAAGGGACTCAGTGAGCAAGTAAAGTTGAGAAAGAACTCCACAGGAGATCGGGAACTAGAGAAATGGATATGTAGGGAAAGAGAAAAGAATAACAGATGGCATTTTGAAGGCCAGCACTTAGCCAAGGTAGGCGAAGCTGAGCAGTAACTGGAAAGGCAGTAGAAGGAGCAGGAGAAAGTGGAGTTGTGCAAAGCAAAGAAAGAAAAGGTTCTGGAAAAGAAGAAAAAGATCAACAGTGTGAAATGCTGTGATGTGCTGATACAGGGCCTCTGAAAGGGCCATAAAGACTTTCAAAGACACTCACAACTGGGTTCCTTCCTCCTATCCCCTCCCCCACTTCCGATCCCTCCCCCCCTCCTCCTCCCCCCCGTTTCCCCTCCCCCCTCCCCCCCGTCTCCTATTTCCCCTCCCCGTTCCCCCGTCCCCCCTCCCCCATTACTCCCTCCCCCCGTTCCCCCCCCCCCCGTTCCACCCCCTCCCCCATACCAGCCGTGACTTTCTCAGCACCAGGAACTATCCCACAGAAGCTTTAACATTACTGCAACGTCCTCTATTATGATGAAGCTATTAGAACATACTTCCTTAGGCTAGAGGACAAACCCAAGAAAACTATACATGTTCCCTACCTTTGTGTTTTGATCCACGATCTTCTTCAGATTTTTCAACAAATGATTATTTGGACCACCTTCTTTCTCATTAACATAAACTATCCTATCCAGGTCTGGAAAGTTACGGTTCAAATCTATTCCTTGGGCATTGCTTCGACCCACAAACCAGTCCTTGAGCTCACCAGGCTAAAAAAATCAAGAAGAAAAATAATAAGTTATTTATTATTATTGTTGTTACTATCTAGTTAAGGTCTTCATTAATAATTTTTAAAATAATTTATTAGGATTAATTATTTATTTCAACAATAGCCTCTCAAAATTGTATTTTCACTCTCACTGACAAACACATGAAGGTTTCAGGTTTAAAGTATTTATTATGGTTATTTCAAAATATTTTCAATGAATAATAACTTAAATTTTAGTAATAATTACATTTAAAAGATAATTATCATCAAACTGCAAAAAAAAAAGAACTATATATATTAGTAACAGATGCCTTTCAAAGCATGCCAGTCTCTATTTGGGTTTAAGTGAAATATTCATTGGCTCTGTAAATCACAGGAATCTATTTTTTAAATATTCAAAAGAATAAATTACTAAAGAAGACTGGAGGTTTAAAATGAGTTTAACATGAATTATGTACATAATAGTAAGATATCTCCCTCTTACAGTCTTCATGAAAAAATATGAGCTCTAGCATCAAAGTTCAAGAGCTTCGTAAGTTGAGAAGTTTCTGTTCAATTTTAAACCCTTCATTTCAGTAACGGTATAATCTGGAAATGTAATGAATTTCCAAGACATTCAGCTGTATTCCATAATGCGTATTTTCTTGTTTTACTATTAAATTATACATAATCTATGATATAGAGCTAATTCCCATATTCTTGAAGTTATATAAGCTCAGATACCTTAGACTCCAAAGAATAAAATCCATTACAGAAAGTAACAGTGTAATCTTTTGTCCATTCTGTCTTACAGATCTGAATATCACCTTAAAATAGTAAACATTTAATTTTCTATGTTATTAGAATTTTTCTAACTTTAGAAATTATATCAATGTTATTTACAGAAGTTCTCTGGGTTTCTTACAATGTCAAACTGTCAGGTCACTGGATTTTTTATTTTTAAGGTAAAAATCAACTCCCTAACTATAAACATACCAATACTCCCCAAAAAAACAAGGAAATCACTTCACACTGTAGAAAACGACTAATTTCTCCATGCCTGTGCAAACAAAAAGGAAACACATACCATTTATCTTCTCTTAAAGTGCGATTACTGTCCAGCTTCTCTAACAGTTAAAATGTATTAATTTCATTTTACAGGTAGGAGGGGTTTTTGCTGGTGGCGGGGTTTTTTTGTTTTGTTTTGTTTTGTTTTGTTTACTTTACGCACCATACATAGACAAGAATTAAACACCCGTGAAACATTGATCTGGCCAAAATTTTTCTTCCTTGATGTCAGTAGAGGGCGCTATGACATCACTTCATTCAGAGGCAGCAATGGCATGACTCCTCAACACTTGGCAGTAGTCTTACTTTCAGCTTTTTAGAAGAAAGGAAATTTACCTGGTCACAAAGGTGGGTGAATCAATACGATTTATTTAACAACAAAACAAATCATTAATTAAATACCGACTTCACCAAATTTCTCATTCGCAAACTGCTGAAGAAACTCACCCACCATCCCTTACCTTCTGAACCTTTTTCTTACCGCCAAGTTGAAGAGCGTATCACTTATATCCTCCCCTGCCCTGTCCGTAAGATGCGTGTGAGTTCAGCATTACTTACAGATAAGCACACATGTACAAACACAAAATGAAAGGAGCCTGCCCCGCTCTGGGCCGGCTGGAACTCACCTGAGACGCAGCCTTCTCAAAGCCGTCCGGGTTGAGGGAAGGCATGATATGGATTCGAGTGGTGTGGATCAGCTTAACGATTGTCTCGTTGCCCTTTTGGTATTCGTTGCACAAGTATTGGGCCAGGAAAATGAGCAGTTCCCGTCCAACAGCCTCATTACCGTGCATATTCCCAATGTATTTAAATTCAGGCTCACCTAAAAGACCAAAAATCAGTAGTATGGAGACATTTTCTATATCTCTGAATAAAAGACAAATGGCATACAGTTATGAGTATGTTGTATCTCTACTAATTTACTACACATAGCTGACAGCTGCTTCTCCCTCCAGAATAGATGCCCAACAAATCTACTTTAAATGTCAAAATATTCCAGGGCACCTGGGTGGCTCAGTCTGTTAAGCGGCTGCCTTTGGCTCAGGTCACCATCCCGCGGTCCCGGAATCGAGCCCGGCGTCGGGCTGTCTGCTCGGGGGAAGCCTGCCTCTCCCTCTGCTCCTCCTCCTGGCTCGTGCTCACGCTCTCAAAAAGTCAATAATTTTTTAAAAAAAAATAATAAAATAATAAAATAAATAAGTAAATGTATGTCAAAATATTCCAAACAATAATAATAATAATGTATCGCATGCCTTCTATTGATTAAACACCAAACTTCGCATTTTTTCTTATTTAGTGCTCACCAAACATCTAAAAGTAGGTATTATTTTATAATAGCAAACTGAAGTTCAGACTGCTTAAGAGAGTTGACCACAGCCCATGAAGCCAGGATTCAAACGCTGGTCTTCTCATTTAGTTAAAAGTCTATGCTTTCCCCCCCCCCCCTTTTTTTAATCCTAGGTATTAAAAGCATGAACTTCTGGAGCCAGACTGCATGGGTTCAAATCCTCACACCAAGTCTTACTGGCTAGCCTTGAGCAAGTTACTTTGGCTCTCTGTGGCTCTCTTTTCCCACCTATAAAATGAGAGAACTATAAAATTATTCTACCTATAAAATTATTGTAAGAACTAAGCGAAAGAATAAGTATAAATGCTTAGAACAGTGCCTGGCAAATAACAAGTGCTATGTTTTTGCTATAATTATTATTATTGTTATTATTATGTCACATTATCTTATCAGTGTGATGTGCTTTACCACATATAATCTAATTTTCTCTTTACAACAGCCCATTAAAATGGGGAAGACAAATATTTTTATTGTCATTACTGTACAAATGCAGCACCAAGAGGATACATTTTGCTGAAGGGCTCAGAATTCAGACATAAATCACTATTGCCTGTTTCTGCTGCTCTCTGTTACATTTAGGAGTGATAAAATTGCAGAGCATAGCAGCAAATGCTCTTAATTAATCCTGTTGTTCTGCTCTCTTCTGCTTCATCCATCCCCCAGGCCCGATTTCTGCAGCAGAAAGGATTTTCCCACTTACAAAATCACTAGGACTGCTCACCTCTGATAAAAAAAAAAAAAAAAAAAAAAACCACTGGAATTATTTTTCTCCTGGAAATACATTATCTAAGTATCCTTTGCATGAGATTCCTGAGTGTGTGATTTAAATGACTGCTAATCACAGAAAACCGTGTCCTTGTGTGACCTCTCAACCTTCATCTAAACTAATCTTAATCTAAGGATCAGGCAGGAGCAGGATCAGGGCTATTTATATGCCCCTCATTTTTTACTTTGAGGGAAAGTCGCTAATAAAACTGTGCCTAGGGACTTACCCACAAGGTATGTGAGAAGAGATGTTTTCTTTGCTTCTGATTTCAAAAGTCATAATAACCTTCTTCCTGTCTGTCAAACTCAGTGCTTTATACCTTCCCCCTTACTGGATATAAATTTGATTGAGGCGCAGAAGAGAGGGTAGCCGTCCATTACAAAAGAAAATAGAGATGGAGTAGCCAGAGGAGTATTACAAGCCTATTTTGCAGTTATTTGAGAAGACTACACTGTGGGAGGCAGGCTGGTCCCGCCTCTTACCCAACACAGCTTTGTGTGAGGCTTCAGTCACTCAAAAGAGCTTGGCCCATAACCCATAAGAGTAGATGAACGCACTGAAATTTTGTATTACTTCCCCGGATTTAAAAAATACATATTTAATCATTTAAAAGAGAAATAGCAAACTCATACTCACTTAGCCCCCCAGTGTTTGTTTGGTGGTCACAGTATATTTTGTATTTGAATCTGAATGCTCTCCTGGTTCTGCCACAAATCACACCACTCCCTATTGCTACAAGGCCTGATTTTCAAAGTCAGAAAATTTCCAATATGGTTTTGTTTCTTCAATCTGTAGGAAATTGCTCTCAGAAGCAAATCTCCCCCAAAATGTTTATTATATTTGTGAGGAGATAGTAATAATAGTAACAATAGCAATGCTTTAGTTTGACATGAAGATAGCTAGAACTATAAAGGTCATTTTATAGAAGACATTAATATATGGAAATAAAATTCAAGACACGTACGACTTAGCAAAAGAAAAGGCAAGTGTATTTTTATCATCCTCTGCCTTCTAGAATAAATTAGATTGCTAGATAACGCTCTCACCAGAATACAGAAGAGCTGCACTAAGCCTACTGACGTGTCTTATAAGATGAAGAAGAGTCACAGTGTTGTTGGATGTGTACATGCAAACCTTGGTGTCCAACATTACAGGAGACTCCAAAGCCAACAGAGCAGCATTCTTAAACTCAAGGAATGTGGGGTCTGGAGAGGACACAGACATGTGCACGAACTGTGTTCAGCAGTGAGGCAATGATGAAGGAATGTTGGATACATAACCAACCAGCTTCAAGGTTCTAAATTGGAATAGTCCTACCACCCGTATGGCCCTTCTCCGGCCCTTTGCCCTCCCAAAGCCAAATTTATCTTTTTACAACACAACCCCCATTGGGTCCCCTCTACCTAAAACCCATCAGCTAACCAAATTCCCATTTGCTTTCAACATAAAGGCCAGAATTCTCTGCAAGAGCTTTAATTCCCCTGTGGTTCGGCCTGGTCCACCTCCCCTGTCTCCTGAGGCACCCCCTTCACTCCCTATCTTTCCGCCACAGGGCTCTGGCCTGTGAGGGATGCTCTTGACTTGTCACACACACACATTTTGCCTTCACGTTCTCCTAATCATGGAACACCATGGTTTCCTCAGAGTACCTTTAGTCTAAGTCCAGTTCTTTTGTTATTTTTAATACCTCAGTGTGAATATATACCTTCATCAGCGTGATTGTTTGATCTTCCACCCCAGACTGCATGGTCTATCAGTGTTGGGATGGTATTTACTAGAGCTCACTAGTACATCACTCCTGCCCAAGGGAGAGCCTGAAACACAGCTGGAGCACAATAAATATCGATTAAATAAATTCACGAGTCCATGAATAAATGATTGGTCGTGCTTCTCACTTCCAACCTCCCAGCAGCATGACTGACAGTACAAAGTGTGCCCTTGAGATGCAAGTGCAGCTGTGGGCCTCTGAAAATTTTCTGGCGCAGTGAGGGGGGACACACGAATAAACTGAAGGGGACCTGAGGTAGGCTCAGGGAGTCCGTACCCTGGGGGCAATATTTAGAGACCTCAACACTTGTCGCTATATCCGACATTCCCAGGCAGGAATGGAAATTCTTCTTTGGGAATGAAGGCAGCCGTGTTGTGTGAACAGCTGATTTCCCAGGAAGAAGATTAATCTCCATGGTCACAAGAGAACCGCAAAACCTCTAGGCAAGAACTCCCCAGGGCTATTTTTGTTGTAAAGTCTAAACAAAGAGTTCTGAAGAGACTTTGACTGCCAAATCCTTAATTTAGAAACAGATATAAAATGGAAGCCTTCAGACTTTGAATAAGCCTCTCTGTGTCAGTTTACCCTCCATTTATTTAATGAGGACTGACTGCTTTTCCCCAACACTTAATTTTCTTCTCTGCGGCTCTAGAGCTGGAGTTTACAACAGGCTGTGCAACGGATGACGTGTGCATGTCTGTTTACAGTGTCGGCAGAGAACAAATCCCAGGTTTAGCAGCTGTGTCATCTCTCGTAGATTACAGCTCGTAATGCACACGCACCCAGGCACGAGCTCATCTCTCTCCTAGCAACGGGAAGAAAAGGCAGCAAGAACTACTCTCAGTCCACTTGGGGATGGTTGGTTTTACATTCCTCTTACGCTCTGCACTCACCATCTAATTCATTTTCCTTTTTACACAGTGATTAGCCTGAGTTCCTGATCCTGCACCGAGGCATCATATTTGCGCAGGTGGCCAAACTGCCGATGGCATTGGCTCGGGAAGTACAGTTCCCCTGTTGAATCCATTTTTCCACAATTTCACATAGCCATCTGTCTTCCAGTTACTTCACATGGCACACGATCATCAATCAAGCCACCGTTAAAAGATAATCATCTGACAAACCAAACCCAGCCTGGCTGGGCCGAGTTTCCATCGTTTTCATCTGCGTCACAGAACGATCAATGTACCTGATTGGATTTGTATTCTCATCAGAACTATATAAAAATAACTGATCGGTATTTTAACTGATGGGCATTTTAAAATCAAATCCAAAGCTTTACGGAAGGCAGAAATAAATTCCAAACTGAGGAGGCAAATGATTTTAAGTTCCGTACTTGTAACTCTTCATTTGCTCCAATTGTTTATTAATGTGATTTGAAATAACTAAATCACAAAAAGAAAGAAAGAGAGAGAGAGAAAAAAGAAGAAGAAAGAAAGTAGGAAGGAAGAAAAAGGAAGGAAGGAAGGAAGAGAGAGAGAGAAAGAAAAGAAAGAAAGAAAGAAAGAGAAAGAAAGAAAGAAAGAAAGAAAGAAAGAAAGAAAGAAAGAAAGAAAGAAAGAAAGAAAGAAAGAAAGAAAGAAAGAAAGAAAGAAAAGGACTCCTGAGTGGCTCAGTCAGTTATGCATCCGCCTTTGGCTCAGGTCATGATCCCAGAGTCCTGGGATCGAGTCCCATATCAGGCTCCCTGCTTAGTGGGGAGCCTGCTTCTCCCTTTCCCTCTGGCCCTCCCTCGCCGCTTGTACATGTTCTCTCTCTCAAATAAATAAATAAAATCTTTAAAAAAAAAAAAAAAGAAATTTAAAGAAACATCTATTGCTTCAAAAACAAAACATAAGTATTTTACACCCCCAGAAACCCAAACCCTTTGGGCTTAGCACATGGGTGAAGTTTAAAGCTCACAGCAGACTGGCAAAGCCCTCAAATGGTAGGAATTAATGGTCTTTATTAAAGTGACCAGAAAGCCCCTAAAGCAGAAGTTCACAGGCCCAGTAGGGCTGAGCCTTAAAAAGAAAAAGAAAAAAATAATAAAGAGGTAAAAGTAAAAAATGGTAAAAAAATTTCCTTCTCACAAAAAGGAAATTTTACTTTCACTACCTTATTTGACCCAAGGGTCAGCCTACCTGTCTCTAATATTTTGTCCTCTTGAAAATAGCTGACAGGTTGACCACTGGGGAGAGGGCTTGATCAGATGATTTGGAAAGCCCTTTCAAATCTTAGAGTCAATTATTCAATGACCTCGATATGGGAAGAAAGGAGCTGAA